GAATAATTAAGCCTCCTATTTGGCTGAACTGCTAGTTCATTTAAATCTGCTGGATATTTGGAGCAGATTCTATTTTTTCAGGAAACAGTCCACAGATTTGCAAGCAGTCGGATCCATTCCAGATTTTTTTAGGTTACCCTTTAGAAACTCCTCAAGTCAGAATGCAAAACTACGTCCAAGTCTCAACTTCTTGAATTACCTAGAAGGAAACAGGACCAAACGCTGTCCACAATGCGGACAGGAACCAAAGAAACAGCTGTTATGGACCATCTAACTGCCTTTTATAATTCAGTGGTAACAATTCCTTTCCTAACCTAAGAGCGGGGCACGGTGGTGGAAGCATAATGCTAAGGGATGTTTCGCTGTCATTGCATAAAGTGGATAAAAAATAAAGGAGGAAAGTCGACCGATCTAAATAACCTCTCATTTCTGCCACTAACGTTGGTTCAGTTTACAGCCAGAATGATGCAGAAAACATTCAACTAAATGTTAGTGGAGCTGTTTGGATATAGATGAGTCTGTCCTGATTTGGAGAATGTAAGAGAGAATCCATAATATGAATACATTTCTGTTCAGTTCTTGTTAAAAAAATGCCTGAAGCGGTTTGACTTTGGATAATTAACCCAGGAAATAGAGAAACGACCTGATAAATAGCTTCAAGATAAAAAGTTATTTTGATATTCAAGTGTTTGATGAGTGGATGGAAACCTTGGACCAGAACCGTGGGTTATATGTCTATAGCTGTGTTTAGCAAAGGTTTAGCAGCCAGTTGAGACAAAAAGAAGACGAGCCGCTCGGTCACCTCATCAGGACCGACGTTTCCTCCATCATCTGCTTCTTCATCTGGAAAAACATGGAGGACAGGAACAGGAAGTAAATATCTCCAGGACAAGTTCAGTGAGATATTCTGTCAAAAAATATCATAGCTTATGTAAACATACAAAACAAAATCTAAAAAAAGCATAATTTAATTAAAGCAAGACTAAATGTACAGAAAAAGATCTAACAAGCAATTTAAAGGATTTTACAGAAATAAACACTAAATAAATAAAGGTTAGGGAGTTTTTTTTATTTATTCTGTCATCGAAAATGTAAACTTACTAATTTGATAGTTTAGGTGCTTAATTTAAACAATTTTGTTGACTAATCTTTTTTTTTTTTTATTCATTCTGTTGCTCTATTTAACACTAATCTATTTTAATCAAGTTTGCATGACAAAGTAAATTTAACTGAACTTAATTCAATTCAGTTTATTTCTATAGCACCAATTCACAACACATGTCATCTCAAAGCTCTTTACAGTTCACAAGATCATCCAGTCAAATTGATTCAAAGTTTTCTATCTAAGGAAAACCAGTTGATTGCATCGACTCATTAACCAAAAGGCAATCCCTCACATTAAGCATGCTTGTAGCGAAAGTGGAGAGAAAAAAACTCCCTTTTAACAGGAAGAAACCTCCAGCAGAACCAGGCTAAGTGTGAGCGGCCATCTGCTGAGGCCGACTGGGGTTCAAAGAGACAGAAGCAGAAAAACCTAAAAATGAATAAATAAATATAAAAAGCTTCAAAAATGCATTAAAAATAGTAAAGAAATATCTAGTGCTGTTGTCAGAACTATAAGATGATTCTGACTTTGCAAAGCTTGAAAAAAAGAAAACCAAAACAAATGTTCGATAAAATAAATGTTTTTCATCTTAGGTTGTTGTTATGAATGACTAAATTATTTAAAATGTAAGTCAAATGAAAAGTTTTCTTTTTAATTAGAAATCAGATAAGAAGGGTCTAAATGAGACGCTCTGCGGTCTGTAGTGTACCAGCACACCATGTGTAGCCTAGATTTTAGACCACACACCCCTCCTCCCTCCCACCCAGGATGCTGCAGGTGTTGGTTCTTAGACCTGTTTCTGTTTCCTCCTTGCTTGCATCATTTCCTGCTGCTGCTTCAGCCGTACTTCCTCCAGACTCATGCAGCCGCCTGTAAACGCAGCACAAACAGTCAGAGGTGAGGCCGTAAACGCCACACCTACGAGGCGTTTAGACGTCTCACCGACGGTGCTGGGGTCGATGGACACATAGGACACGGCTCTGCTCAGACGCAGCTCCTCCAAAGCAGCCAGCTCCGCCTCTGCCTCTGCTCAGCCAATCAGATGGAAAGCATCAGTGAAACTGTAATTTACATCCAGCTGCTCCTAATTAAGGCAAGGCTGATAGAACAAACATGTGAACTCACTTTTCTGGATCTCTTTTCGTTTCTTTGGGTCCGGAGGGATGACGGTGAAAGCTTTGTGACTGAAACAGGAAAAGAGGCTTGTTATTTCATTCAAAGTTCCAGGACCAGATCATTCAGAAAGCTACAAATAGTCCAGATCTATGAGGAAAAAAACAATTTTCTATGTAAATACAAAGCAAATCAAATGAATCAAGTTAGATTTGCCCTTTAGAATGAGGTCAAATTTGTCTACATGCTCACATCAAATGGAAGATTTGTTTATTTTCTTATATCTTTTTTCTAAATGGTTTCTTCTACTGATAATATTTAAATCATAACTAATAATGTTGGATCAATCATGTTCTGTGTGGAAAGCTTAAAAGCAAAGAGTTATTAATAAGAGGCGATACGGCCCTTAGCCCTGAGTGGCATGACTCAGCGGGCCCCAGTTGGCCTCGCCAGATGGCCGCTCACACTGAGCCCGGTTCTGCTGAAGGTTTCTTCCTCTCTCATGCATGTAGTGACAGTAGAGAGTTTTTCCTCTCTACTGTCACTACATGCATGCTTGGTGTGAGGGATTGCTGAAGAGTCAACGACAAAATGCAAGCAAAAATAATCACAGCAAGCTCACCCAGGAGGAGCATCTCTTTCTCATGTAAACAAAACATTAATATCTATAAACGTTAGATATGGGTCAAGTGATTGAAACAGGCTCTAGTTAAAAAAAAAACACATATTTCACAAGGATGACAGCAGAACTATAATATGGAGTAAAACCTCTCAACCAGTAGGCTAATAGTTGTGTATTTTGTGAAATAATTACCAAACATATCAGTTCTGTAGTAGTTCTGCCCAGAATGGAACTATGGGACGCCCTACTAACCTAAGCTGCTGTTCTTCTGGTGGCGCAACTCTCCTATCTCTATTGCTCTGGTTGTGAGCAGCAAAGATGGATCTCTATTGGTCTACTTGGACATTAGCAACAACATTGTTATTGGTCAAAGTATGCATCATTATTGGGCATAAAATGAAATGAAATACGCAATATGAAAAGAGTACCATTCATAAAACTCAACAAGGAAAAAAATAACATTTGAAAACAAACAATCTGTAAAAAAAAAAAAAAAAGAATATTGAGAAAAACAAAATATGAAAAATAAACAAAATAAATTGACAAAGTTTGTGAACTGCTTTTTTTCTAATTTGTATTTACAAAACATGTTTGTCGTTTGCAACAATAATGGAACAAAATTCACTCCATATTTTCATGGCATGTAAAAATGTTAAAACTACGACATAAACATAAACCTCTGAAAAATAAAATTAAAATATTTTTTTTAAAAATCAGCTTTTTTCCCTCTTATCAGACAGAGAAACTCGTATATGCATTGCAACTGACTAGCTTCATCCTCGTGTTTCCATTGTGTAATAATGTGAATTAGAATCTCTCCAGAATCAGTACAGCAGTTTACATTTCTGTTCCTATCCGCGGTACAGTTCCTATGGTTCAAACCATGACAGGTGAAGGAAGAGGAGCTAGGTGCTACAGTGGGACCAATTCAGATGCAGCCCTTTATTGCATACGGAGGAGGGATGCATCCAAACACTGCAGGATACCAGTCCTGAGGAACACGTGTTAAGGTGTGTTCCTCGTGGAAAGGAAATCTGGTGACTGGTGAGATGTCCAGACGACAGTCATTGACATCCTCCGCATGGAGGGGAGGCCAGAAAAGATCATGTCTAAATTAAAGGCTCTAAACTGTCCTAGACGCAAGAATAATAATAGAGATTTAAGTGGAAGAAAAAGGTCAATCATGAACAAGAATACATGCAAAATACACTTAAGAAGCAGATGGAGCTTTAGAGGGAGCTGGAATCAGCATAACAAATGAATCCAACACATGAGCTCCAACTGTCTCATCTGGGGGGAGGAGAACCAGACTGTTGCTGAATGGTCAAAGGGCCAATAAAAATAAAGTTTACATTTCATTTAGAAATCAAGTCTAGAGGAACAGTGGAGAGACAGAGGATTCACGGTGGTTGAACTTTCCTGTCAGTGATGGTTTGGTGCCATGTCAAGTTCTGGTTCTGGTCCACAAGGTTTGTGGTAGTAGTTACAAGTGGTTCCTAGAATTTCTAAAAGTAGAATGGTCTTTTAGTTATTAGATCTTTTAGTTATCAGGC